TGAGCCACCTTCCCAGCTCCACTGCGGTGGTTTTCTCAATCTGTTTTGTCCTTCAAGAAACCCATTTCATTTTTAAAATTTTTCTAGGTGATGCCAGGGCTTGAACTCAGGTCCTTGTGGCTGCTAGATAAGCACTCTCCCTCTTGAGCCTACACCCTTAACTCTCTTTAGTTTCTAGTTTTACACTTTTGCCACAATCAGCCTCACAGCAAGACCCTCCTAACTCTACTTTATGAGAAAGTGGAGTTACAGGCATATATCAGCATGCTCTGCTTGTTGTTTTGAGCTAGAGTCTCATTGCTTCTTTGTCCATTATGGTCTTAAACTACAGTCTTCTTAACTCTGCCTTCCAAGTAACTGAGATTATACTTTATTTTAATAGTGCTGGGGCTTGAACTCAGGGCTTTGTGCTTGCTAGGCAAGCACTCTAGCACTGAGCTAAATCCTCAGCTCCATACTGTTACTGAATAAAAGAAAATCAGAAAACATATGTATAGAGTTCCATTACCTCTACCTTTCCTCAACATGCAATTCTGCTCTCAGATGTTAACAAATCATTTCTTCAAACATAAAATCATATGCTTTAACTATTATTTTACAAAGCCCCATAATTAACAACAGTAATAGTTCTTGGCCTTTCAGTCTAAAGAGATTAGCTTTTAAGCCAGCACTTTAATATTAAATGTACATTTCATAAAGATTAGGATTGACTCAGTAACCTTTGAAGAAATAGCAAACCCATAATTTTTAGTGTCATAATCTTCCAATTAAAATCCCAAAGTATAAAGAAATATACAAATCAAATAATAGTAAATTTAATGTTTTTTTTCTCTAAGCCATCAAATTCTGTACTCATTTCTTCCTTCTTTTTCAAAACCAAACCAAACCAAAAAAGCAAGGCACCAGTGGTTCATGCCTACAATCCTAGCTACCCAGGAGGCTAAGATCTGAGGATAGAGGTTCAAAGCCAGGCCATGCAAGAGACTTTTATCTCCAGTTAATCACCCCCTCCAAAAAGCCAGAACTGAGGCTGTGGCTCAAATGGTAGAGTGCTAACCTTGAGGAAAAAAATAAAAAGCTTAAGAATAATGCCTGGGAATAGTGCCCAGGCCCTGAACTCAAGCCCCAGGACTAGGAAAAAAAAACACAAAACAAAAAGCAAAACCCAACTACTTAAGAATGCTTTATCACCTATGGACAAACTTACATGCGTCTGCATATTTTAATGACAAGGATGATTTGCTTTTACAACTGCTGTATTACTACTTGAAGCCTGTTCATAAATGACTAAGATAGCCTATTTGAAAGGGATCTCACACAGAATTTCGAACAGAGATGCTCTCTTACAAGGCATATAATTTATATATAGTACTCCTTGTCATTTTTGTCTCAGAATATGACATGTTGGCAGTTCCTATCTTTCCAAACTCCACCCAAAGTTTGGAGTTTAATGAAAGATAATATATCTTGTATGGATCATTGGAAAAGTCAAACATGACAAAGGAAAAAAAAGACTTACTAATCAACACTCCTCATTTTATAAGCGGTATAATTTTTTAAGAACAGACACTACATTATGTATGTGGTTTGTGATGTGGGTGTTTTGGACAAAGGGTCAGCTAATGAATAAGGCTCCCTTCCCCCCTACTTAACAGAGAACGTTGCTAAATAAGCTCTAGGTAGCAGTTACATGCAGAGGATGAGACCAAAGTGAGGACCGATGAATAATGTAGACCTCAGTAGTCAATTGTGACTCCTCAAAAAAAAGTTAAGCATGTTCACAATTACTCTTAGTGACAATTCAGCACCAGTGCCACTATGCATGAAAAACTCTGCCCCCACTATGAGCAAAAAAGCAAGCATGGATGAGGATTGGTTCATGGTTTTTCTTTTTGATGTTTTACTTTCCCAGTAAGTCAGAAAATAAGTGATCTTCTGGTTAAACTCAGCCTTGGGGTGAAATTTGGAGAAACGGATATAACACAAAGACAGATATCATATCTAATGTGTCCTATCTGAAGAAATAATTATAGGGGAAGCTTGCAGATATAACATGGAATATTCCTCCATATCCCACAGCTTCACAATCAGCCCACTCACGAATGCAGGCTTGTGATATTTGGAAAACCTCCCATTTTCAAATTTCTTAAAAAGACTTTTCCAGATCTAAAAGACTGAGGAGACTAAATGGTTAGCTGTAGAGAAGTCAAGCTCTATTTAAATGCTGTCTTAAGGAAATGCTCATGCCTGTCCTCCTCAATTTATCAAAATGCTCTGAGTGCATGACAGGGAGCCATCTGCACCTTTCTTATGATAAAGATTTTCTAATAGACACCATTGAGACATGACACTAATACACACCACAGAGACATGAGTCAGCCTTCCAGAGTTGGGGAAACTGATAGAAAGATGGGTAAATGATTCAGCAAGCTGCAGAAAAATGAGTCGGTCATGAATTTGTAATTTCTACTTCTGTTAGGTGTGTAAACCCTGGTGTCCTCTCTCATCCGGTACTGGATATGTAACATATGACAGAGGTTGTTAAATAAATGAATCCCCCAGCAAGGACACCTCGGTGTTTCCCTCTTAGATGAACTTCTAGGAAGAAAAGCACTTAAGGCCATGAGAGCCCAGTTCATAAGACTGGACCAAGCTAGGGCCAGGCTCCATTCACACACAGGGGTCACTCTCTCAGTTGCACAACAGACCAGGACAGGGTGGGGGGTGGGGGTGGGGGTGGCTTGAAGCAGGAGAAGAGCAGAGAAGAGACAAACATCCTAACAGGACAGAAGATCAAAAAGACTGCATGGGCATTGCAGACTACAACCCCAGGAAGCCTCCCTCCTGGAAGCAGATGATCAGGTCTTTTTCTAAGTGTCCCCATTTGCCTTTAATAAGGAGGAAGAGACCACAGCAACCAAGTGACAAATTTCAGAAGCAGTAAGACCCAAAGCAAACCAGAATAAATCTCTTTCCATCAAATAACCAATGTGAGAAGAAAAAAAATGACAAACACTCTCATCTGCAAGTGTGCCATCTCGAATGCTGACAGTGCTTCCATTTTGTGACCACAGCTCTGCAGCCCACCTGGTACTTCCTGAGAACCGACAATGCAGCGTGCCAGAATGGGCACGAAACCGCCTGTATCTATTCAGCACAATGTCATCACATTGATTTGGTGACAGATGACACAGGCCTCACACACAAGCCCTTAGCAGCAATACTGAAAACACAGAACCATTTTAGAACTATTGAAAATGTATTCAGGAAACTACCGAGGTGACAAGTATGACCTTCCATCTTCTGTTCCCTTCCCCAGCCCCAACCTACACCACAGAAGCACTGATTTTCTTGAACTTGGACGAAGGAGGTGATAGAGAAGGAAAAAGGTATATAGCATCTAATCCCAAGTGTGACACTCACACACAGCCCACAGCCCACTCACAGCACACACGGTACACACACACCACACGTGCACACACACAGCATACTCACTGTGCATGCTGTGTGTGTGCACACAGTACACACATACCACACACATGTACACATCGTACACAGGGCACACACATGCACATGCAGCATGCATACACACGCACACAGCACACACACACATACAATACACCAAATACACTGCACGCACCCAGTGCACAGGTAACACACAAAAAACGGCACAGAGCACATCCATACAGCACACACACAGCTCACACATACAAGTAGCTCTGCGGCCCTGGCTGCCCTGGCTGGCCCGGCCTGGCCTGGCCCGCGGGGGAGGGGCGTCTCCGCCCGCCGGGCCCCACTTATCTAGGGGTGCTCACAGTCCAGGTGCTTCTTCTTGGGGCCCATCACTTCATGAGTGGTGGCCTTGCACACAGCCCTGGCCACCGCAGAGCCCGTCACGCTGTACTGGGCGGCGGCGATCCGGTCGGTGAGCGTTTGGCCCGACATCTTCTCCAGCCGTGTCTATGCCTCCTCTTCTGCGGGGAAGGAGAGGACTGGCTGGCTTTGACCCGCACCCCAACCACGGGGAGCCTCGCCTCGCCTCCGGGGGTGCACGGGGCCCCTCCCCCCTGCGACCGCGCCCTGCCTGGCCCCGCGACCCCTGCGCGGCCCGGGGATGTGGCCTCACCGTGGGCACCCCGCACCC